TGAGATATATGTGCATAGAGAGCTATAGATACACTATACACATGTAATAATTTATGTGCATATATGAACTCTATATGTATGTGTGCATGTGTATATATGTAACACAATTCTTTTTCTCTTCATTTATGGTATTTATATTGAGAAGTTATCTGGAAAAATAATATGTAACTGTATAACATTTTCTTTTGTTTTGGATTTATAATGAGGAACTTTCTGCATATATATATATATATAGAGAGAGAGAGAGAGAGAGAGAGAGAGAGAGGGAGAGAGAGAGAGAAATTGCTCAGTGTTTTAGTTCAATAATCAATTTGTAAGAACATGAGAATATACTATAGTGCCATCTCTCTTGCTGAGTGAATATAAATGAAGAGGGCTAAAAAAATAAATAAATAAATTAAATTAGGAAATTTATGGCAGAGTTTATTAGTTCTAAAGTGATTTGGTAATGAGAAAAATAAACCAGGCTCTGGGGAGGGATAGTGCCAGAGAGGGTGTTGACCTTAAGCTGAGCCTTAGAGTATAGGCTGCATTTTGATACTTCTGAGGTGGGGATAATACCAGTGGGAAAGAAAACTGAGGAAAGCACCTTCAATGGCTTCCACCCTGTTTGAGTACTTGAAACATTTTTACCACTGAAAGTTTGAAAGCAAAGACCCTTCCACAATACTGTTGTTGTTGTTATGTGTCATGGAGTCGGACCCAACTCATAGCGACCCCTCCTTGGGTTTCCGAGGCTGTATCTCTACGGAAGCAGATTGCCCAACCTTCCGTCCGAGAAGTGGCTGGTGGGTTTGCAGTCAAGTGCCTTAGGCACTAGGCTACTAGAGCTCCTCCCTTCCTAATAGGGTAGCTAAAAAAACCAGTGTTTGTGTCAGATAGACTTGAATTTGAGTCCCAGGCCCTCTATTTATAAAGCTATATAATCTTGAACTAAGTAGTTCATTTTCAAAAGTTTAGCTAGTTTATATTTAAAATGGGAATTTTGATATTTACCCAATACCTATATTCATGGCTGTTGAATCAATTATGGCTTATAACAAACAACAACAGCAACGCACTGTCGTTGACTGGGATCTAACTCATAGCGACTCCTCCTTGGGTTTCTGAGGCAATATGACTATGGCAGTAGGTTGCCCAGTCTTCTTTCTGAGGAGTGGCTGGTGGGTTTGAACTTCCAGCCTTCTGGTTAGCAGTGAAATGACTTATGCAGTGACTTCCCCCCCCCAAAAAAAAACTGCCATCGAGTTGATTTGACTCATAGAAACCTCTCCTTGGGTTTCTGAGGCAGTATCTCTACAGAAATAGATTGCCCAGTCTTCCTGCTGAGTGACCCTGTAGGAAAATGTAAAACTTCCCCATTGGGTTTCCAAAATTGTAAAATCTTTACTTCTATAAAGAAGATTGCTACAAATGGCTGGTGGGTTTGAACATCTGACCTTTTGATTAGCAGCTGAATGCTTTCACCATTGTACCACCAGGGCTCCTTTTTATGCTGTACAGTTATTTAAAAAATTGAGACAATTATGTAAGTTATTATTATGAAACAGCTTAATACCCGACATATAAAAAAACCCCTCCTTGGGTTTCTGAGGCAATATCACCATGGAAGTATATTGCCCAACCTTCCTTCCAAGGAGTGGCTGGTGGGTTTAAGCCTCCAGCCTTCTGGTTAGTAGTCAAATGCCTTAGGCACTAAGCCACCAGAGCTTCTGAACCTGAATAAAGTAAAATAAATACTTTCATATTTTTACATAGTGTTAATTCTGGAAATGTATCTCTATTACATTTTAAAATATTTTCTCTTTTCCCTTTTTATTTTTTCTCTCCCTTTGTGGCTCCTTATCTGTGTTTCAGTTCTTATAATTCTATATCTCATGTTGTTTTCTTTAATATATTTTACTTGGTCTTTCTCCTTCAACCTCTCACGGGAGAGATTATTTTAATCGCATGTTGTAATTCACTGATTCTTCATTATGTATTTTCACATATCCTGTTTCTGCTGCTATTTTTATGTTTACTCCTTCTTGTTTCATATTTTAAAATATATCCATTTATTTCTTTTAGAATTTCTATCAGGCCAATTTCAGAATTTAGATTGCATTTTTTTTTTTTTGCTTTCGATGTTATTTCTAACAACATGTTATTTTACTTTTGAAATAGTTATTTTTCTCAAATGTTTATTATTTTCACTTATGAGCTCATTTTCTTCAGAGTGTATTAGCTGTTACAGAAAGTGTATATGTGGGAAGTTCAGACCATTAGTCCATTTCAGTCCTGATGACCTCAGTAGTGGAAGTTTGAATAAACACTACAGAGGAGTGCCTCAAACACCAGAGAGCCATTGTCAATCAGTCCTCATGTCACAGCAGCTCCTCAGGCCAGGACTTTACTTTTCTACCAGAAAGAAATGTTGTCTGATAGAGGAAGATAGTCTACATTATTGGAAAGATTTTATAAGAAATTCTTTTTTATAAATCTTTACAGTTTGAAAGTTTGTTGCTGTTAATAATAATAATAGGTTTATTCATTGTCATGTCAAAAGTTTGTTTTACTGAAGGCACAATCTGTTTTTTTTTTTTTTAAGCAGAATAATAAATATTTCTGAATAACTTGTCTATTAGAGTTGCCTACTGATCTAGAAAAGAAAATTAAGGCTTAGTCCTTAGCTACACAAGTAACACAGTTTGACAAAAGTAAATATAATTTTGCTTTGTAAACCCTTTTGGATATGTATGTAATCTTTAGACTTTCACTAACAAACACTTTACTGGTTTAATTGAGAAAAAGGCACTTTAGATTGCATGAAGGGTATTACATACTTTGAAACTGAAGCCAATTGTGTAATCAAATTCAAAAAGTGATTAGCCATTTACATTAAATAGTGTAGCACCTACAGCATAAAATTAAATAGGATATTAATTATTGAGCTTTAGGGCATAAATTAGACAATAGCCAAGGTCAGAGGAAGATGTGATATAGCTATATTTAAACAGGATTAGATTCATTATCAGAATCGCAGCCCCATTTCTAAAGAATAACACATTGTGTATGGTATGGCCAGGTAACATGGACCCAATGAGGGACGATAGTTAGGAAACTATCACTTTATTGTTGCAGTCTTTATGTAAGGTGGCTCCTTTGCTTCTTTAACATTTCTGCAATTTGCCACTTCTGCATTGAAATCTATCTGAATTCAAACTCTTCAGAGGAAATGTGCCCTTTCCCTAGTTCCTTCCCCCTCACTCCCTGTCTTTTTTGTTAAGTGAGCCCATTGTGTTTCTCAAAGGCACAGTGGAAAGTACAATTCAGGTTGGTGATGCCTCAGCTCATAACCAACAGGCTTTTCAAAAATGATCTTGGAAACTTTTTACTTTAAAAAATATGACTAAATGACTTACATCTTAAGGAAATACCTGCTTTTTGGATTTTTTCCTAGTCGTACCTTTCTGATATTAATACGTATCATCTCTCTAGGATAGATGAACTTTGTGCATACTTGCTGAGGAGGAAATTAGGGAGGAATAAGTGCCCGACTTAAGTAGCTCTCTTCTAAGATCCATAAAGTAAAAGTATATTTTACAGCAATAAATTTATGTAAACTAAATCTGAGGAGTCCTAATAGATTTAATAATGAAAAGAACCAATATAAGGAAATAAGACAGAATCTAGTCCATATGCACATAGACTGATATATTAACTCATTACCACTGTGTTTTACACGTTTTCTTTTTTCCTTCAGAATAATATTTACTACATAGTTTCATGGATAATGTGTCGGAAGCTAATTTAGGTCTTACTATGTACTTTATTAAATTTTTTTAAGTATGACATTATAAGTGTCAAAAATTTTTTTTGCTCAGTTTGAATTGAAGTTTTGCATAAGCTGGGAATGTTGAGTTAGATGCTCTACAATAATGTGATGATAGCTTTGCTTGAGTCCATGTACTGTTCCTTGCCATTGAGGAGAGAAACACTTGGTACATATACAGTTCTTGATTTATTTGCCTAGAAATGGAATAAAGATATTTAGAATGGAAATACTTTAAATTTCCAAATCCTACACTTTAAATGAATCGGGGCTGACTCGATGGCAAATAACAACAACACAATAACAACAACACTTTAAATATACTGTTCTATAAGAATGAATATTAACTTGAATTATGACTATTATTTAAGCTTAATTTTCCAAGGTGATCAAAATCAATAGGCATAATTGGAGTAGTGATCGATGCATTATGAATTGTGTTTAAAGCATATTAGCTTTCTGAAAAATTATTCCCAAGAAGCATTTTAGGAATTGCAGTGCTGCTGGAATTGGATGTATCCTACGCTCACTAAAGGCAATAGTAGTAGTTTTAGATGATTTTTGTTTACCAGTTGGATACTTTATAGTATATAGAATAGTATATCTAGAATATTATATATACATAAAATATTCTAGATATATCTGGAATAGTATATCTAGAATATTAAGTGTACAGTGAGAAAAAGTATGCCTTCCAGGAAGGAAAGAAAGTTTCTGACTTAATTAACAGTGTAAAACACCTCTTGACTGTGATTTGCTGGTAGCAGTGATGGTGTTAAGAAGATTTCTAAAATGCTTGACCATTAAACTCAATTTGTGGTATGGGATGAGCTTTCCAGCTTTGCTAATGTGCATATTGATCACTTTCCAAAATGATATTTTTAATTGTATTCATTTATAACCAGATCATATACTGGATCAAACTCTCATAATTTTGGAAATATTAATCAGAATTTTCCTTCATGAGTGATCTTTTTGCTTAAACACAAATAGCCTTATTCAACATATCTGATCCACAATGAAGTTCAAAATATCTGATCCACAGTGCATACCTATCTCTTTTTTAATATTAAAATGCTACGTGTCGTTAATAAAGTGACAAATTTTAAATGGAAAATTGAAAATAAACAATAAATATATCAATATGTCCAGAAGGTTTAATTGACTTTTCTTCCTTTCTCCTCTCAAGTTATCTGGAAATATTCTGGATGTGTATAGTGGTGAGCAGGGGATTCCACCAGCTAATATGGGACTAACAAGTGTTTCCTGTCCAAATAGTCTACCAATGAAAAGAGAAATTACAGGTAATGCTAGTTTCATAGTCTTACTTTAAAAAAAAAAAATATGTTAACTATGTAAGATATGAGTGATAATACATTATAAAGCCAGGATATCTTTATATATTATCAAAATAGTCAGTTAAAATATGAGACATTTAATGAAAAAAATCAATCATTTTTTTCCTATGACAACCAAACAGCAAATTAGTATGACTTAGTTTAGCGGAATTTATTCATTATTTTAGGAATTAGGCAAATATATCCTTAGGCTCTGTCTATGTACATATGACAGCTTGATATTGAATATATTCACTTTATTAACATGGTAGCAAAATTGCAGATTAAATAACAGCAACATTAGTCATTTTTGTATGTAAAATTTGATGTGAAATGAACAGTTGGTTACATTTGTCCCTTTTTAACTTAGGAATTTCATCTCACACTTGTATATAACTCCCTCAAGGGAGAAGCCCCTACATTCTCAGTAACTTATTTAAAATTTATTAAAAATCAAATGTATTCTAGGAATATGGTCAAATTCCTCCAGCATATAGATTAGGAAATCAAGGTCAAAGGAGTTAAAGTCACAGCTGATTAGAGGCACAACTGGATCGAGTAGGGTTTTCCTCACTTCCAGGTCCAGTGTTAGTTCCACCATATGAATAAAGTAATATCAATTGAAATTTCCATAACAAATTTTTAGTTTAAGCACAAACACTGGCCTTTAAATTTTTACACAATTAATAATACTAACATTTTAGTAAATATACCATGTCCATTCCTCGAGTCTAATCAATGACTCAAAATGTCTGCATATTCAAATTTTTCAGACTAAAAAATATTATTTTAAATAAACACATGGAAATAAGATATATTCCTGGGTTAATGTTTTTTAAAATTATAATTCTAAGAATTGTTGTATAACCAATTACACCAAAATTTAGCAGCTTGAAATAATAAAACTTTATTTTCCCATCTCTGTGGGTCAGAAATCCAGAAATTGCTTAACTAAGTTCAGTATCAGGGTGTCTCATGAGGTTGCAGTAAAGGTGTTAAAGGTACAATCCCCTGATGGCTTGACTGGGGCTGGAGGATATACCGCCAAGGTGGCTCCTTACAGTCTTAGCATGTTAGTATTTTTTCTTGGCAAGTAGACTTTGTTCTTTAATGCAGGGACTTCTTTATGGGGTTCTTTGAGTGTCCCCATTACATGACAACTAGTGATCCAAGATGGCACAAAGATGAAACTGCATCTTTTACTTAGCCTTGGAAATCACACTCGTCATTTCCACCATATCCTATTGGTTTCACAGTTCAGCCCTTTTCAATGTGAGAAGGAATTACCAATGGTTTAAATACCATGAGGTGAGAATCCTTGTGGGCCATCTTGGAGACTGGCTATAAAAACACTAACAACCACACAGAGCATAGGGTTAAGTATATATTTACCCCCAAAAAAACTCACTACCATTGAGTTGGATCTGATTCATAGCGACCCCTCCTTGGGTTTCCAAGGCGGTATCACTATGGAAGTAAATTGCCTTCTGGTTAGTAGTCAAATGCCTTATGCACTACTCTACCACAGCTCCCATACATTTACTAGAAGAGAGTGTAGGGTTGCCTGAAGACCATATGAAAACTCTTGGGATATAGAAAACTACGTTCCAACTTTGCGGATGTAGAAAATTAAATTATTTGAAAAAAATTTAAGTGGGAATAACTTCTTTCTGAATCTGAAAATAATAATAAGCTATCAGAGTTTAATATTTGCTGTGCACTGTTATCTCTTTTAATTATCATTCTCATTTACAGATGAGGTGTTTGAGGCACACAGAACTTAGGTAATAGATTCCAAGCCTATTGAATGGCAGGCCAGGACACAAATCCAGGTTTTACTGACTCCAGAGTCAAAAAGTTTTGCCACGCCTCTTACTAAAGAGTATTCTGTTCCAGATTTTCAAATATTTTTATTGAAAAATTTTATTAAAATATTTTGAAGTAAGTAAATTTGTCTTTTCACCTAGTATTTCTGGATTATGTTGACTAGAGGATTTAAGGTAGAACTAAGGATTGTTTAAATTATTTTCTTTTTGATCAGAAACTGATACTCGAGCTTTGGCAAAAGAGAGGCAAAAAAAGGATAACCACAACCTCAGTGAGTATATATATATATATATATATATGTATATGTATTTTTTTTTTTTTCAAATAAAATTAATCAATTCGGGGAGAATGTGTGGATGTTAAAAACCTGTGGCATCTGCCTGTCAATCCATAAGCATCTTGAGGTCAGATGACCAAAAACTGATTGTACATAGTAATAAGTTGAGATACTTTGGGAGATTTAAACAGTGCAAACTAATAAGGGCTATGTATTTTCATGAAATGAAACATCTCGATTTCTCTTCTTACTCACTCTTATCTCAATGAGACAGTCTGTGAGGCAGAAGAGTGCATTTGGTTACATTTGAACTCTCTGTGACTCACTGACTCAAAAGTTTAAAGAGATAAAAGTGACTTCAGAAAATATACAATATTTAAATAGTTAGACACATAACTCCCGGTCCTCATTTTCCTGAGTCAGTCTGCTCCTCTCATCCTCATGGTATGTTATCTGAAAGGAGTTGCTTATCCTGCACTGCTTAATTCCACCTCTGGGGAAAAAAATATATTGTTCCAGTGGTTTCCTGGGGCTCAATTTGACTCAGATAACTGATCACCTGAGATGGAAGAATGCCGGCAAGGGCAGGCAAGACTGAGCTTTAGAGTGTTTGGTCATATCTCAACTGTTTAACTGTTTCAGGTGAGCTTCAGTAATTGAGTGTGAAGTCTACTAGTTCTGAAAACCAAAGGAAAAATTGAGAAAAGATCAAAATAAATAAAAATATTAAAGCCTTACAATAAACCATCATTCCCTTATATGTGATTAGCTTAAATTGATTCTACATGTACCTGTGAAACCTGTGTCTGTTTATAATGCATCTGTCTACATCTCAAAGTAATCAGTTTGCTGTCTGAGGGACTGTGAGGCAAGGGCTCATGAGTATTCCTGGAGAAAAAAATTATCTGATTCAATAGCACTTAGAGGCAAAGTACTTTGATCCAGATTATGAACCCAGTAGGAGATGAGTGAGGAGAATTAAGAGTTGACAGAAGGAATTAATACATCAAGGAACTATTGGCTTCTCTCTAAGTTTTGTATCTGCTAAACTATTCCTTTCCTTACACCTAGCTTCCCTCTGGTGTGCTTAAATAGCAGGTTTTAATGCAACATGGAGTCCCTGGGTGGTGCAAATCAGTAACATGCTCGGCTAACTGAAAGGGTGGAGGTTTGAATCTGTTCAGAGGAAGCTCAGAAGAGAAGCCTTGTGATCTCCTTCTGAAAATCAGCATTGAAAATTTTCTGGAGCACAGCTCTACTCTGACACACAAGGAGTTGTCATGAGTCAGAATTAACTCGACAGCAACTGGTGTCATGTTTGTGTAGAGTTTGACAGGTGTCTGATGTGTCTGTTTTCAAAGTGTTTTGTAATATGGATCCCCTTGCTGAAGCATGTATTTATTGGGGAAATCAATGTCAAAACAATATCATAAATTTTAAATATACTTAAAATATAAGGAGAATTAAACATAAATATCATAAATATAGATATAATTAAATTTACATATATTTAAAATATAGGGAAAACTCTAAAATTTGTAAGGATTTTGGTGAGAGTCCAAATGGAGAGAGATGTCTAAACATCTGTCTTATGTTTATGATCTGCTACTGGGAACAAGACAAATTATGAAAGAGTATCAATTGTCTGGGTGAACCCGTCCTGCAAAGCAAATGATCATGAAAATATCTGACCTTCAGGAATAATACATTGGGCTTCCTCTAAGATTAGAATACAGCTGATTTTCAAGAGTTTTAAAAGTTATAAATTAAGGTAAGAAGTGCTACAGTAAGTATGCTCTATCCTTTCAGTCAGCTCGTGGAGACCCCATGTGTCCATGGTAGAAACTACTCCACAGGGTTTTCAAGGCTGTGACCTTTCAGAAGTAGTTTCCCAGGCTTATCTTCTGAGGTTTGAACAGCCGACTCTCAGCTAGTAGTAAAACACTTCATCATTTTTGCCACCCAAGGACCTTATGGGTCACCGTGAGTCAGAATCAGATCCATGGTAACTAATGAGAACAACAACCGTAGTCCTCTCTGAAGACTGAAACACTAGGTTTGATTTTAGAAGTCTTGAGTTCTGTGTGGGAATTTTTGGTGGAACAAGGCCAGCTTCCAGACTCTCACCCACCCTACTGCTCCATGGACCCCTATTCCATTCTGTAGTGCAAGTGGCTTCCTCAAGCATGTGTGTGAGGTCCTCATCCTATACATCCAAGTGCCACCCACACTCCTGCAACCAACTGCTCCTTGGCCACATCCTGGTGTCATGGTCCACTGTCCACAGGATGGGTATGGGAAACAGCCTACACAAGCTCCGGCAGTGGGTTCAGGGCATTCAGACAGAAATTACCTAAGGTGTAAGTTACCCTAGGTGAGGCATAGTGTTCAGTTGCCCTGTGGACAGCTTACATGGTGGGGGGGGGGGCATGGCCATATAGGCCAAGAGTGGTCCCTCCTAAATACAGGGTTCATGGTAGGGTCCCCTCTTGCCTGGATTTGAGATAAAAATTGAATGGATATATATTACTGTGTAAACAATGGAACCATTGATTCATTTCCACATTCGACTGAACTATTTTAGTAATTTCTTAAAACTTGACTCTTTTATAAATAATTAGTAATGGATCTGAGCACCCTTAAGGAACGTTGGTCACACAATAGTTAAGGGCTTGACTGCTAACTAAAAGGTTGGTGATTCAAACCCACGCAGGACCTCCACAGGAGAAAGACCTGGTGAAATGCTTCTGTAAAGATTACAACCAAGGAAATCCTATGGGGCAGTTCTGCTCCATCACAGGGGTCACTAGGAGTCAAAAATCCACTTCACGGCCCCTAACGACAAAGGACCATGAACAACACTGAGGTATCAAAGTTCTCATGGCACATAACAACAATAACAACATTATAATAAGCATAAAAAAGTTAGAAGTTTACAGACCACAGTCTAAAAAGAGTTGAGTGGGTGCTACTGATATTGCACATAAGGTAAATTTAAATAAAGGATTTTGAAGTTATATTGTGGCACTAGACCAGCCCTCTCTTTTGAGATGAAACTGTGAACCATCCTTCATGGTGTTTCTTCGTCTTATATTTAAAAGTCTGGTGAACATAAAATTCATTAATGAATCCACACTGTAAAAGATACAGGTATTCTTATATTCCTATGAGCTTTAGCCCTTTTTGTTTTCCCCAATATTGCTATGTGGTTTAAGTTAATTGTTTTCTTGAATCAAATGCATAGGCAAAACAGGATTGGTGAACAGGGGTGTTGTGGTTATCTAGTGCCACTGTGACAAAAGCATATCACACATGGGATGTCCTTAACAAACAGGAGTTTATTCTTACAATTTGGAGGCTTTAAGTCCAAGTTCAAAGTGCCAGGCTCTAGGGGCTGTGTGAAAGCCCCTCAACCTTGGGGTCCAGCTCTGCCTCCTGCTCCCAGCCCACTGGAGTTAGAAGTTTTCTTCACTTAGACAGCTGCTGGCTGCTGGGGTTGAGAAGCCCCAAGGTTGACAAGTGAAAAAGGCACAGTCCCGATGTTACCAAACCACACGGCAGGCCATTAACTTGAGTTCATTGTAAGCTCCAAGTTCAGCAGAGCATAGCAGGCTGCTGAGGAACGACACGGCTACATGCAGGGTCCAAGCATGTCATAAACTAGAGACCATTCCTAAGGTTTCTCCTTATATACAGGAAGCAGACTACATCCCAAAGGCAGCTACTCAGCTGCTTGTGGTAGATCCCACCATAGAGCTGATTGCCAGTCTCATCATGGGGAATAACTACCAACAGCTAGCCAACCAGGCCTAGCCAAGTTGACACACAAACATAACTACCACAACAGGGAAAAAAACTCTCTCGAAATCAGCTGTATTCTATTCTTAGAGGAAGCCCAATGTATTACTTCTGAAGGTCAGATGTACTCATGATCATTTGCTTTGCAGGGTGGGTTCACCCACACAGTTGACATGCTTTCATAATTTGCCTTGTTTCCAGTAGCAGATCATAATTCTCAAGTGTGTATAATTTAAGTATTTTACAATTTTTTGGACATATTTTTTTTCTTCTTCTTCTTCCTGGTCTTTTCTTTGTTCATTTCCCTGGAAAGTGTGAAATATTTCATTTATTGAAAATATATATAAGTATGTGCTGGGATTATAGATATTGGGCATACAGAGTAGAAGACTGGTCTTGGATAAGGGTCAATAGAGGAAACTCTATGTATTTATATATCTGACATTTATTGAACATTTACCACATGCAGAAAATCGCCATAAACAATGCATGTAAACACAAGCATCAAGATCAGTCTCTGAATAAGAAATTGGAATCAGTAGTTTTCAAAGCTTGGGCCCCAGACAAGCAGCATTAGCATCATCTGAGAACTTGGTAGGAATGCAGATTTTTAGCATCCACCCTGTGTCCATGGCCACTGAACTGATTCCACCTCATAGTGACCCTATAGGACAGAGTAGGCTTTTCAAGGCTAATCCTTACAGAAGCAGTCTGCTACATCTTTCTCTTGTGGAGTTGGACTGGTGAGTTTGAACTGCCATCCCCAATTCGAAGCAAACCCACCGCCATCATAGAGACCCTATAGGATAGAGTAGATTTGCCCCAGAAGGTTTCCAAGACTGCAAATCTTTAAGGAAGCAGATTGCTTTCTCTTTCCCCTGAGGCCAGATTTACTAAAATCAGAAAATCTGGGCATGGACACACAATCTATTTTTACAAATCTTTGAGATGGACTTGCCTTAAGTTAAAGTTTGAAAAACACTGCTCTGATAACAAGGAAAATTTAAAATTAGCAAAATATTTGTAATGTAATCAACATGAATTTATTTAGCATCTCCTGTAAGTGGGGTCCCAGATGATACCAATGGTTAAGTGCTCAGCTAACAACTGAAAAGTTGGCAACTGAAATCCACCCAGGAGTGCCCCAGAAGAAAAGCCTGATGGCTCACAGCCTTGAAAACCCAGTGGAGCTTGCTTCTGCTCCACAGCTCACTATGAGTTATAACTGCCTTGACAGCATTGGATTGGGATGTCGGTTGTATGTCAAACAGTGGTTTAGAATGGAAAAATAACAATGAGTAGGACAATTGTCCCTGTCCTCAAGGTGGTCATAACGGAGTGGAGCACACGTACCTACAATGTGCTAAACATTGTGTTAGCCCTTGAGAGGAGATTATGAGAAGGAAAAAACAAGGTACCATGGCTTCAAGAGATTACAATCCTCACAGACTGACCAAAAGTATATATGTGAAATAGGAAGTGAACAGGACAAACCATATATATTAAAGTATATAAGAGCAAATATAACACTTCAAAGGATGCAAAAAATGTTTTTGAGTCCAAAATGTTGTTTTTAAGACATTGTGAATCACTTAATTCTAATTCTCATATTGTATTGTTGATTTCTAGAACAAAACATTGATATAATTCTGTTGTTGAGGAGTACTATCTTTGGCTAAGTAGAATTTTTTTCCCCCACTGTGTTTTAAAGATTATTAAGAAAGTTTACAGCTGACTAAAAGTGAACTGTGGTTTTAATGAGAATAATCAATAACATTTCTTTTTTTAATAGTTGAAAGAAGAAGAAGGTATAATATTAATTACCGAATCAAGGAGCTTGGCACTCTTATTCCAAGGTCTAATGATCCGTGAGTTCAACAATCATTTCTATAATAATGTTATGGTTTAAATACCACCCCCCAAAAAATGGGTGGGAGGGAATAGGGGAGGGGAAGAACCAATGACTAGTAATTTAAGCAGCTTATGGCAAAGATAAGGCTACTGTTAGTCATATTTTTAAAAATTTATTCCAGGCATCAAGGCTGTTACTGAGAGTTGTCCTTTGAGTTATAGGAATTAAGTAAACTATTCCTTCTCAGTTCCCAAGGTCTTTCTGTATACCAACAATATTGACAAATTTAGTAAGAGAGTCAAATGCCGTGGGGGTCTGGTTGTGCAGTAGTGCAGGCATTCAGCTGTTAACTAAAAGGTCAGTGGTTAGAACCCACCAGCTGATCTGAGAGAGAAAGATAAGGCAGTCAGTTTCTGTAAAGATTTACAGTCTTGGAAATGCTGTGGGGCTTTCTACTCTGTCCTGTAGGGTCACTATGACACAGAATTGACTTGATGATAGTGGGTTTGGTTTGTTTTTTTGGTCACTTAAGGAGTTCTGGTGGTGCAGAGCCTAAGACATTTGACTGCTAACCAGAGGTGGGTGGTTCAAATCCCCAAGCCTCTGGGTGGGAGGAAGAGTGGCAATCTACTTCTGTAAAGTATCAACTTGATGGCCATGGGTTTGTTTTTTCGGTTTTGGTTCTATATGATACTGACTAAACCTCAAAACAAACCCACTGCCATCTACTTGATTTTGACTCATAGCAACCCTATAGGACAGAGTAGAATGCCCCCACGGGGTTTCCAAGGCTGTAAATCTTTATGGAAGCAGATTGCCTCATCTTTCTTCCAAGAATCAGCTGGTAGGTCCCAAATACTTACCTTTTTTGTTAGAAGCTGAATGCCTTAACCATTGTGTCACCAGAGCTTCTATGATAATGACAGGTATAATTAATTTTTTATTATAGCAATTCTTCCATTTTAAGATTTATGAGTGTGAAAATTGAAATGTCTTATTTTCAGAAGTCCCACAATTCAGGAGACATAAAAATTAAAAAAGAAAAAAGAATTGTAAAAACATATTTAAAAACATACTGATTGATACCCACCAGATAATCTATTATTGTAAGTCAATTTGCAAGTAGCTTTTGGTGTCATCAAGACACAAACTCAAACATTTTGTTAAAGGTTGGAATCTCAAGAAATAATTAAGTAAAGTATCCATCAGAGCTGTTGAATGTTTCTTTGAAAACATAAAACATGATCTATTCATTAGTAATGATTTGAATTTTTTTTTCTTTCAAACTAATAACTGGCATATCCAAATACTGGCATTTTTCCATTATTTAGACATGACAATATTTGATAAAGTAATATGTATGAGGTCTGAAGGTAATTTTTCCTTAAAAACAAATATGGTAATTCATTCAGGCATCACCAATTGTGAGAAAAGGGATTGTAGTATTTGTCCTTATGATGGTACAGGCAGTCCCAGGATACAAAAGAGATCCATTCCTAGCTGCATCTTTAAGAATTTGTAGGAAGTTGGAACAGGTGCATACTGTTCTTATTTAACATTACTTTAGTCCATGAAAAGCCTCAAAGCCTTTTCAAAGATTTAAAAGCTGCACATGCAACAAGTGAAGGTGATTGTGATGAAGAATTTGTTGCTAATAGGTCTCAGTTCAGTGACATGAGTGAGTGAAGACTAACCTACATATAATTAAATGGTGAGTAGGAGTTGTCAACAGGAGCTCTAGTGGCACAGTGCCTAAGGCATTTGACTGCTGCTGCTAACCAGAAGGTTGGTGGTTCAAACCCACCAGCCACTCCTCAGAAGGAAGGTTGGGCAACCTCCTTCTATAGTGATACTGCCTCAGAAACCCAAGGAAGGGTCACTATGAGTCGGGGCCGACTCCATGGTAGTGGCTTTGGTTTTTTTGGTAGGAATTCTCGGCAAGTTGGAAGCTCATAAATTGGGGACTGCCTGCAGTAGATAGTGAAGGCATCAAAAGTAATACCAAAAAACCAAACCAAATTCACTGACATGGAGTTGATTTGACTCATAGCGACCCCTCCTTGGGTTTCCAAGGCGGTATCTCTACAGAAGCAGATTGCCCAATCTTCCCTCTGAGGAGTACCTTATGGGTTTGAACTACTAGCCTTCTGGTTAGCAGTCAAATGCCTTAGGTATTACACCACCAGAGCTCCTTCAAAAGTAATAAGGGATCAAAAGCACTGGATGGATAGTCTGAAGAGCTTGATCATTGTTGAGATGCTACCCAAAACTCCTCAAGTCTTTTAAAGCCTGGAGCATGTGACTTCTCTGTTAGCTGAAGAGATTATCAGTCATCTCTATATGAAGAGATTTTATAAAAATAAAATCAAGTAATATGTATGAGAATAAAGCTTGGGTGAGGGATTATTTTTACTCTACATCATTACAGAAGCTTAAATTATATAAAGGCTCCTTTCTAGTTCTAATTCACTATCTAGATCAAAAGATGGCAAACTTTTCTTAGAGAGGTAGGTAGTAAATATTTTAAACTTTGAGGGACATACAACCTCTGTCACAATTATTAACTCCACCATTGTAGGATAAAAGTAGACATGGACAATATGTAAATTAATGAGAATGACTGTGCTCTAATAAAACTTTATTGACAAAAACAGGTGGTAGGCCATATTTGGCCTGCTAGTTGTAGTTTGTTGGTCCCTTGTCTAGAATATAGAAAGTCATTTACTTCAGAATCATATCTGAAATACACCATAATTAGAAAAATTTCATTGTAAACATTCTTAAATATTTTTAATCTTCTTTATGGATCTCAGAAAAGGGGATCATTTTGAAAAATATCATTATGTCATATTTAGTCAAATAACATTTATTTTGGGTATAGTTGAAAACACATTAATTACTCAGATCTTGACTATGTCTATATGTTGATCTGTCCATATAACACAGGCAGAGAAGACACTTGTGACAAGTGTGGCATTATGGACATCTCACCACCAATTCTGTTTCAGTATATCTTATCTGTTGGCTTGCTGTATTCTCACCTGTTACTCCAGCATCCTTCTGTAGGATTCATCAGTGAGAGTCCCATGAATCTGGGCTTACGGCTTCCTGGGTTTTGGTTGAATCCAGATCTTAGCCTCTTGAAATGGACTTTACTAACAAGTCTAGATCCATGGGCCTCAGGAGTAATCATCTACTCTGTATATAATATAATTGCTATAGAAAATGTAAGTACTGGGGAAGAGTATAGGAATGAAATATAGAGGAGCCAAGTTTCACTTGGAGAATGGAGAAATGAATGGGAAAATGTCATTGCCATTGTCCAAACAATGGTGAAGATTAACAAAAATTTAATCTAAAAGAAGAAACAATCAAACCAGATTTAGGATTGGTGTTAACAAATTTCGGATTAATTTGTTGAGAGGTAAATAACTCATTGCCATTGAGTAGATTTCAATGCATGGTGACAAGACAACTATAATCGTAATGATTGTGAAAAATTCTCTTCTTAAAAATAACAAACTTCAAATTATGGGATGCTCTCACACAGTGTTTCTTAATTTGAGTGTCATAACCTATTAATGGATTGTGAAATCAGTCAATAGGGCAGGTCCAGCATTTTGAAGAAGGAAGAAAAACACTGACAATACCAGAGTATTATATGTAGGAAGGATAATAACACCTTGTGGAAGCTTTGTTGCTATTACATGTACTAAGAGTGCACTAAGTTACAGTATAAAATGTATTTCTTACAGCAGGATGAATTTCTAAGGTAGGAAAGCCACAGGTTTGAAGAAAGAGAATTGACTGAAGGAAGGAGGTTTAGGTCTCATCATCTAAACATCACATACTCTTGGGGAAATAGAAGAAACTGTGGAGTTATTGACTTCTGAGGACTTTCCAGGTCATGATTAGAATAAACTTTGGAGTTATTTTGTAGGAAAGCAAAGCTAATACCTGAAGACATTCCAAGTTATGTGAAGCTGCCATTTTTAATGTTTCAAAGCATTCAGAATTTTCTATTTCTTTGTAGGTCAAAATGGTGAGGTCAGAATGGAAAACACGATAGAGAACAGTTGTAGTTGAGTAGTGTAGGTTGAGAAAATTACAGACAAACAACCGGGGAATGACAATCTTTTGTCACCAGTGGTAAGAAACAAAGCAAAATTAACAAACAAACAAAAATACTGAAGAACTTCTGGAGATGTGTGGTGGTTTTGTAGTTTGGTCTATTTGGAGCCACATTTGTCCATGTACTTTGTGAGAACTATATTTCCAAAAAAATGTGTTGGTAGAAATAAGACTCATCAGAGCATGAGTTATTCTATTGATGCTATCAAATTACTCTTGCTTTCTCACTTTTTTTAATTTACAAAATAATTTACAGATTTTTACTAAGTTCATCCTTCTTTTCCTCCAGTCAGCACTTTCTCTGCTTTTGAGTAAGAATAGTAGTTGAAATAGGAAATTATACCTAATAAGACTTTCTGAACCAGGATTTGCAAAATATTGACCCATGCAAGAAAAATGTAGTCTCTTATGGAGTTTTCTTTCTTTCTTTTTCCATGTCTTTTTTGGATGCTTTTAAGTGGAAGGTGCACTCCTGAAGGGACAAAATTGCACAATTTCCAATGTTTTGCCTAGGAGCATTCCTATTACAGTTCATACATTTTTATCACTTGCTTTGGCCCAAGAAGAATTAATGCTTTTAACCCCAGAAATTTTTTAAGTTTTTCAAAGAAAATTATTTTGCAGAAATAGATGTCAGTATTAACATTCATGCTGTTTTAATGTTTATAGAGCACTATCAAATGCAATCTGCCTATCTACCTACCCATTGTCAGTGAGCCAATTCTGATTCACAATGACCCTATAGGATTTAGTATAACTGTGCCATAGTGTTTCCAAGGCTGTAAATCTTTACAAAAGAGACTACCATATCTTTCTATTATGTAGCAGCTGGTGGGTTAGAACTGTTTACTTTTGCTTAGCAACTGAGCACTTTAACCACAGCAC